CTAAAACTCAGGATAAAGGTACTCCAGTCGCGAAAGCTAACACGCGCTCGAATCAAGCTAACGACAACGTGGCTAGTGCGGGAGCCCAGAGCGCTGGAACGAACATGGACTCGGAAGGAATACTTAAGGCTATTGACGATTTGAAGACTGTTTTGAAAGTGGATAATACAAAGCTACAACAGAACATCGACCACCTGGGACATGAGATCAACGGTAAGCTGGACAGTATTGCCACTGATGTGCAGGGCTTAGCGGAGCGAGTTGACGAGGCGGAGGCCCGCGTTCACCAAGTGGAGAAATGGGCAAAGGAGGCAACCGAGGTGCTGTGCTTCTGCATCGAACAACAGAGGAAAACTCAGCTTAAAGTGCTTGATTTAGAGTCTCGTTCCAGAAGAAACAATGTAAGTGTATTCGGGGTGCCAGAAGGCCAGGAGGGGAACTCCACCACACAGTATATTGAGATGCTGCTGAAAAGCCAGCTACAAATACCGGAGGACCTTGACTTGAAAATACAGCGCGCACATCGCACTCTGGCAAGCAAGCCCCCCCGACTCACCTCCGAGGGCCATTAAACTTTCTGGAATTTTCCACAAAAGAAAAGATCTTAAGAGAAGTGTGGAAAAAAGGCAAGATCCAGGTGGGCTGTTCAAATATTCACTTCGACCACGATTATGCACCTGAGATAGTGAAGAAGCGCAGAGAATATATCGCTATCAAGAAAGTGCTCAAGATAAAAGGCATACGCTTTCAAACACCGTTTACCAACATAAGGATCCACTGGGAATCAGGAACCCGCACATATTCCAGCGCCCGGGAAGCCTATAACGAGCTGAAGAGACGCGGAATCCAGGTGGAGGAACCGGCGGCAGCTGACGGTGGTCTCGGAGCGGAGTCGGGTCTTCGGGAGCTGCTGGGCTGGCAGCCGGCAAATAACAGCGGTTCCACGGTGGCGCTGAGAGCGAAAAACAAGCTGCAGGATTTCCAGCGGAACATGTCCGAGTGAAAATTGGCAGAACTTGACACAACGTAACATTATGGGCTCTGGCTTATTTTTTCGTGGGAGAGGGCACTGTTTTTTCTTTTTTACGTTGGACTAATAGGATGGACGTGTTTTTTCCTAAAGGAGCTATTACTGTCCTTTTCGGGCCCTCTCATCTTGAGAGGTTTAACCCTCGACTTGCCAACGGGGTCATGAGTGAGAAGAGGGAGTTTCTCCTCATCTTGGAAGTCAGTATGGTTTTGTTTTGCTTTGTTACTGTTCATGTTTTGGTTTCAGGGGCCAAATCAGTCAAGGTAACTTTTTATATCAATGTCATATAATTTGAAAATCGCTTCCTTGAATGTAAACGGATTGAGTAGTCCAGTGAAAAGAAAGAGGGTCTTAGCCAAATTGAAAAAAGATGGGATACAAATCACTCTTTTACAAGAGACACACATGTCTAAACAAGAACATGACAAATTTAAGTCATTTGGTTACTCTAACACGTTTTATAGCTCTTGTAGAAATGGTAGAAAGAGGGGGGTGATCACCCTAATTTCTAATTCACTCAACTTTGAATTGATATCTGAGAGGGGTGACAAAGAGGGCAGATTTATTATTATAAAGGGGAGGATTGATAACGTTGTTGTCACAATTGTTAATATATATGTACCACCAGAGAGTGACAGA